TTTTTGGAGAAATCCCTATTTATGTCTTTAGCCTACTTTTTAATTGGATTGTTTGTTTCTTTGTTGTTGAGTTGTATAAGTTCTTTATATATTTTGGATATTAACCCCTTATCAGATGTATCATTAGCAAATATCTTCTCCCAAACAGTCAGTTGTCCTTTTGTTTTGTTGATGGTTTCCTTTGCTGTACAAAAACTTTTTAGTTTGATACTATTTGTCTATTTGTTTATTTTTTCTTTTGTTTCCCTTGCCCAAGGAGCTATATCTGAAAAGAAATTCCTGTTAGTAATAGAGAGTTTACTGCCTATGTTTTCTTCTAGAAATTTTATGGTTTCGGGTCTTACATTTAAGTCTTTAATCCGTTTTGAGTCTATTCTTGTAAATGGTGTAAGAAGGTGGTCTAGTTTCTTTTTTTTGCATGTATCTGTCCAATTTTCCCAACACCATTTATTGAAGAGACTGTCTTCACCCCATTGTATATTATCTTCTTTGTCATATATTAAGTGAGTATATAGGCATGGATTTATTTCTGGGCTCTCTATTCTATTCCATTGATCAATGTATCTGTTTTTATGCCAATATCATGCTGTTTCGATTACTGTAGCCTTGTAGTATAGTTTGATATTAGGTAGGGTGATACTTCCAACTTTGTTCTTTCTCATTATTGCCATTGCTATTCGGTTTTTTTTTATGGCTCCATGTAAATTTTAAGATTTTTTGTTCTAGCTTTCTGAAAAATACCATTGGTATTTTTATAGGGATCGCATTGAATCTATAGATTGCTTTGGGTAGTATGGCCATTTTAATGATGTTGATTCTTCTTACCCATGAGCAGGGTATATGCTTTCATTTATTTGCATCTTCTTCAGTTTCTTTTATTAATGACAATTTTCTGAAAACAAGTCTTCTACCTTCTTGGTTAATTCGATTCCTTGGTATTTTATATTTTTCGATGCAATTGTAAGTGGGATTGTTTTCTTAATTTCTGAAAGTTTATTACTGTATAAAAATGCCACTGACTTCTGAATATTTATTTTGTAACCTGCTACTTTACTGAATTCACTGATCAGTTCTAACAGTTTTTTAGTGGAATCTTTAGGGTTTTCTATATATAGTATGTCATTGGCAAACGAGAGTTTTACTTATTCCTTTCCAATTCGGATGCCTTTTATTTCTCTTTCTTGTCTTATTGCTGTGGCTAAGACTTCCAATACAATGTTGAATATGCTTTTAAAGAGTAATTCCTAATATAATCAGGCATATAATATTAAAACTGTCCTGATTGTCTCATAATTGTAAAAAACTTCTTTAGTTGTTATTCTCTTGATTGAAGCATAATTTACATACCAAAACACCTCACCCATTGTTTTGGTTCTTTCAGCCTTTGTGTTTTCATATAGATTTCTGGATACATTTGTCAATTTCTACAAAATCCCTGATTTTTTTTAGGAATTGTATTGTACCAATAGATCAATTTGGAGAGATGTGTCATCATAACAATATTCAAATCCATGGTCATGGTATATCTGTTTAGGTCTTCCTTGATTTCTCTCAGCAATGTTATAGTTTTCAGTGTACAGAACCTGTTCTTTTGTTGGGTGTTGGATTTTGTGAAATGCTTTTTCTCTATGGTTTATTCTCATTCTACAATTGGTTTATTCTAGAGATATGGTGTATTACATTAATAGATTTATGGACATTAGGCTACTCTCGCATTCTTGGGATAAATGCCACTTGGTCATAGTGTATAATTCCTTTTATATATTGCTGGATTTGGTTTGCTAATATTTTCTTAAGAATTTTTGTCACATAAATGTTTGACTAGGATCCAAACAAGGTCCCAAATTGCATTCAATTGATATGTCTCCTAAGTCTCATTTATGGATTACATCTCTCTTTTTACTCCCTTGTAATTTATTTGTTGAAGAAACTAGGTCACTTTCCCCCAAATTCTAGATTTTGTTGATTGCACTCCCTATTTTAAATTCTCTAACCCCTGTATTTTCTGTAAACTGGTAGCGAGATCTAGAGGAGTGACAAGATTCCAGTTTGATTTTTTGGTCATCTTAGGTGGCCTTTTGCACTTCCTATTGCCTCATATTAATTTGCCCATAATAATTGGTTTTTTTTTTTTTATGATATTAAAGTTGATCTTTGGGTTCAAGTGTTCTTAGCCTGATTCATACATTTTAAAATTCTTCAGCTTTTCACTTTTAGTAGCTGTATTAGTGTTCTCCGGAGGGGGGTGGAAAAAGCAATAGAATATAGATAATAGGTAGGTAGGTAGATAACAGAGAAGATATAGGAGTTGGCTCACGGCATTAAGGAGGCCAAGAAGTCCCATGACCTGCCATCTGCAAGCAGGAAAACCAGGAAAGCTGGTGTAATTCAGAAGGAGGTCAAAGCCCTGAGAACCAGGGGAGCCAATCGTATAAGTCCCAGTCCAAAAGCCTAAGGTGGGTAGGGGGCAATGATGTTAGTCCCAGTCCCAGTCTGAGTCAGAAGGCCTGAGACCCAAGGGCACCAATGTCTGAGGACAAGAGAAGATGCCAGTTCCAGCTCAAGCAAAAAAAGCAAATTGGTGTTATTTCACCTTTTTGTTTTATTTAGACGCTCAAGCAAATAAAGCAAATTGGTCCTATCTCACCTTTTTGTTTTATTTAGACTCTCAACCAACTGGATGATACCCCCCTGCATCTTTTCTCAGTCTACTGATTCAAATGCTAATCTCTTCCAGAGACACCCTCACAGACACTCCCAGAAATAATGTTTTACCAACTATCTGGGCATCCCTTCGCTTGGTCAAATTCACACATAAAATTAACCATCACAGTAGCCTTTGATTTTCTTTTTTCTTTTTTTGGCCTAGCTTCTTTAATTCATTAGGGGCTACAAAGTGGCAATTTAAAATTCTATCGTTTATCAATTAGGTCAAATATTTCTATCAAAAAATCTTCCCTTCATCAAAGATTTGGTTACCCTGAAATAAAACCTATGCAAGAAAGGCACATAAATGCCTAATTCTTTCCTTTTACCTACCAGTTTTCTGAATGAGTGGGTTCAGCATCTTCTAAAGGTGCTTAGTTAAAAAAAATTGTACCAGTATGAACTCATGGATTCTAACAT